GGACTTCCTATAGATATCGGTGAAAAAAAAAAAAAAAAGAAAGGAAAAAAAAGAAGATATCGACGCAGGCTCTGATACGCGCTCCTTGTTTCATGAAATTCATGAATATCGCCGCACGGAACGCGCACTCACTCGAGGATCGTGTGAAAACGAGCTCGTTTCACGATCTCCGGTACGTCGTTCCGTTCGACACTCGACGAAGCAAAGGAACTCGACGAGGCGCTGCTTTTTTTTAATTGAACGGCCGCCTCTCCTAATTATGCTGGCCTCTAGACCGTAGATAGTACACAGCTGGTATCTGTGCTACATTGTCGGCGTATCGTATCGCCACACGTGCCACTTGCACGATCGCCTGATCGCGTGTATTTTCGGCGAGTCAGTGCCAAATATCTTATTTGCACGCGCACGCCCGCGCGTCGCTATCGCGTGTTGCATCGTGCTCGGCGAGCTTGGCCTGCCGAATTTGACGTTTCACAGCACCAGCGCTGCGTGACATTACGCTCCTGGCTCGCGTAACGTTGCGCCCTTCGTCGCCCGATACTCGTCGAAACAACGGCGTGTCATTGTTGACGAGCACGTCAACGACTCGGTGGAGCAGTATCACGGACGCGCGAGTAGTCGATAGAAAAAAAAAAAAAGAAATTGCGAAACAATTCGTTTCTGTAATTTTCCGACGCTTTGGATTTCGAAGATCGAGGAGCTCGCTTGTCGTTTCAGCGGTGTGTCGATCGGGAATGCAGACTAATCGCGTCGAGGAGGTTTCCGAGGTCTCGATCGCTCGAGATAGATGATCGACGTGCCGTCCAAAAAGCTATATTGGTCGTCGCCTCTTTACCTTCGTCGCTCGTTTCGCCGCATTTATTTTTAAGCCGAATACGACGTAGAATTCGCTAAAAATGTTCCGCGCGAAAAGAAAAAAGAGAAACACGTTGCGCCGGCTCGCTCGAGATGCTTGACGCGTTATTACGAAGCGTTTTTATTCGTAGACTTTTTTTCATCGCGGAATAAATCGCGTGGAAATTGATTGTAGCGTTGAACGAAGCTAATGGGACCATTTGTTGGACCCTTGGACGGAAATTGAAGAATGGTTGATTCAAGAGTTGAAATTAAAAGTTGTCTACGTTTCTCGTGACCGATACGAGAAACGTACGTTTCCTAATTATATTATACACTCTTTAGAAAATATGGAAATTTATGGAATTATATTTGACAGTTTGATCGACTCCGAGTTGACCTAAATCCAAATATTTTACAAAAATTTTATATTTACAATTTCATTGGATATTTGATTAATTTCAATTAGAAACAGTAAACGTAAAGTCAATGTTTGCTTTATGATGACAGGGCAGAATTTTTTTTTTTTCAGTAAAATTAAATTATTTAAAAAAAAATCCACATTCTCTGTTGAAGCAGAATATTTACGATATGTTTTTAACGAATTAGTCAATCATACCTTTGAAGAGAAAAATAAATGGAAACCGCTATTAATGGAAGTATCTGTATTTATCTGCCACGTACTATGTAATGCATTTTATTGTATTCCTCGATTATTCAGACTTCACTCATAATTATCTCAATTTCTTTCCTTTTTTTTTTTTGTCTGTCGATTACGCCCATTACAAAGTGGAAATAAAAAGAACTCGGCAAAAAAAAAAAAAAAAAGAGGATTAACTTACAATTGATTGATGGTTTTTCAATGGGGAGATAAACGAAAAAGTTGGGCAACGATCAAGCGTTAATATCTTTTGAAAAAAATAGCAGTAATCAAGAGCTGCGCCAGTGTGCACGCAGCAATGGAAATATACGTATCATTTAGCCAAATTATCGTTACAACTGTCATTTCTCGATGGATCAACCAGGAACACGTCACGATTGCAATTCGAATGATCAATTTCTCCTCTCGTATTTTGGCAATGCTTTCCTTGGCCTCGTTCGTTGAATCATCCGTTTCTATCGTCGGATAACGACTAAGGACGACTGATCTGATTGTGAGTTATGTATGTTCTCATCATTTCCTTTGTGTCCTATATGTTTAAATAACTAATTACTGTTATCTTGTGGTTCGGATTCAGTTCTCTACTCTCCGAGACAGTTCACTGCAAGATTTTGCAACTTATTTATTTGAAACTCAACCGTTTTCAATTCTTTTCAATTTTCCGGACGTTGTACGTGTTAACATGGTCTGTTATTTAATTTACTCCCGTTTCTACGTACTGCTGCTATCGTGTATCTGCGACCTATCTGTGGATTATGTAAGGATGATTTTATATATGTACTTGTAGAGATAAATGTCACAAATAATCGAGTCGAGTCAGACGACGTTGGCCCGAGTAGCGTGCGATAATTTTTTTCTTTTTTTTTTTCTCTTTTGGTCGTGGTCGGGGATAGACCGCTTCGAAATACTGCGCGTCGCATCGGAGCGGATGCGCTGCTGCAACGAAATTCGGTATCCGCTGACTAGCGTGCGCGCGTGCGTGCAACTCGCTCATGGGTGCAACGATATATGCTCGCTTGTGCAACGCAGGAGAATGACGTCACCGTGTGGTGTGGACGATTAGTCTGTCAGTGATTCTCCGGTTTGTTGATACTCCGTCTGGAGTGAAAGGTTAACGCGCAAAAACCGTCTCGGCCGTTCTTGCTGAATCGCAACGTCACTAGACGATCACTTCTCGTTATTACCGTCTCGAACGAAAAAAAAAAAAGGAAAAAAAAAAAAAAAACGATATCAGAGGAGAGGACTCGTAAAAAAAAAAAAAGGAAGAAGATCCATGGAGAGAGCAATGGGATATAGTCGGATGAAACCAGCGAGAGGGCGCGAGAGGAACTCGCAACCGTGAAATTCTCTCGCCGCGTGGCGATTGCGGCGAAGTCGTTCATTGACTTCACCCCCCCCCCCCACCTAACTCCCCCGACCGACCCTCGGATGCATCCGGATTATTCGTTCACGTCGTAGCCTCGCAGCCGAGTGCACTTACGTGCACACATGTGCGTTTTCGTTCTCCAAACCTCTCACATGCTCTGCCCTCTCGCTTGTTCCTCTCGGTGTCTGGTCTCGGTGTCTCTCTCGAGCCTCCTCCCTCGTGATCCGAGCCGGCCCCTCCACCAAACCGACGACTCTGTATCGTGTGCACGGTGAAGAAAGAGGCAGAAGGAGGGAGGAAGAGGAAGAGGAGGAGGAGGAGGTGGTGGTGGTGGTGTTGGTGTTGGTGGAGGGAACGGCAGAGGAGAAGTAGACGACTACTCGTTGGAAGAAGCGGGCTCACCGGCTTTGCGAAGTTACTCGTGTTCTGTCTTCCATCTAGCATCGGGTTCCTCGACTGTACCAACCGTGTTGTTCACGCATCCTCTTCGTTTCTCTTGGATCCTTGGTCGTGCCACACGGGATCGCGACAGATCGAAGGATATATTCAAGGTACGGCCAACTCTGGCCATGACCTAGCTCTTTCTCTCTCTTTCTCTCTTTGGTTACTATCGCTCTGGTTCGCAACGTTTCGACCTTGACGGTGTTCTCCGCTCAGGCCTGGAAATTGGGACGAACGGGGAGCAGTTTGTTCTGTATCGACGACAGGATTAATCGGCGTCTCGGCGTTGACGAGGCAACGAGCAGAGAGGAACACGTGCCACGCGCAACGACCTTGCGCGTTCTTCGGCGTTTTCGTCGGATCGTGTTCGAGTTAGCAAGTTGGGGAGTGCACGTGCCGATGTGACGACCGCAGTGTGACACATTCGGTCGTTGTGATTGAGTGATCGGGCTTCAGATATACGTAACACACCGCCATAGGACACGATTACACCGTAATCGAGAGGCATCGAGATGAAGGCGCCTTCGGCTGGCCTCCGATCGACTCGTCGATCGAGTTACGAGTAATTGCGTAACGGGAGGGACGCGTGAACGCTTTGCTGACCTACCCGGCGTCTGATATTATTCCCGCTGAAGAGTAGTAGGGCTCGCTTCTTCGACGCTTGGGAACAGTGGCTAGTGACGTTCGCGAATCGTATCCGAAATAGACCGCGCGGAATTTACGTCGATGCGCGATGCTCAGAGCGATGATAATATGAAACGCGGCGTGTCGTTCGTTGAGATTCGCCGATTCGTCGAGATCCACGTCAACAAAGTGGTGGTCAGCAAAGCGTTCCTCCACACTTGTTGAAAGTAGGGTAAATTTGAAATTCGCGCGAGAGTGAAATCGCGAGAATCTCTTTCACCGATGAGAGAGGAGCGTGGTAGAATATTACGTCGGTAGCCGAACAAAACAACAAAGCGTTCTGCGCGCCGTTGAAGAGCGTGGTGCAGTCGCGAAGATAAGAGAGTAGAGGAGAGAAGGTCGGCGAAATTGATTTACTTGCGTGTATAGTAGTGGTCCCTAGCAAACGATAACGTGGATTAAATCGACGTTTGTCTTTTTTTCTTTGTCTGTGCAGGGTTTACTGCCGATCCATTCCGGAGGCAACTGCGGCGAGCATCGTTATTGGTGAGTAACAGTTTTGCATCGACGCGGCGGGAATGCAGCCGCGCTTCATTCCGCATGCGAAACACGCGCCCGGAGGAATTCACCGACGACAATCGGCGACGACCGGCCCCGTTCCATTCTCTCTCTCTCTCTCTCTCTCTCTCTCTCTCTCTCTCTCTCCATCCCGCGAGAGCTCGTCGTCGCCGACGATTTATACGCGGTCATAAGCGAGTCCGTATACGGCTCGCCTCGAAAAGAACTCGAGAATCGGTTGCATTTCGCGTCCCTTTTTTCCCTCCCGGCTCCCTTTTCGCACGCGGAGTTTTCGCCTTTTGTTCGTCGAACGAACTCTCTTTGCGGCGAACGTCGCAATTACAATTAGATAGTTGCACGATTGTAAACAATAATTTGTTCCGAGTTATTTGAATTGAAGTGGTTTGGAGGCTCGATCGAACGAATCGGGTGTAATCGTCGGTGAAAATTTTATTCTCGCACGTCTCTTTAAGCATCAATTCAGTCGAACAAACTGGAACTTGAATTGCATCGGTTACGAACAACATTGCTTCGGAATGTTAATCACGATTGCTGCATTGTATCTGTTCTGCTTGACAGAAACTTAACTATCATCGTTCATTACTTTCCTGTAAATTCGATCATTCTACCTGCAAATTAACGCCAGTAACTGTTAGCGATTAAAACGTGAGATGTTAAATTAAAAAATAAAACTTTATGATTCAACGAAGTGCACTCTTATTTGTGTATTTCACGAAAAAGTCATTTAAATCTCTACAAAGTGACACTGGTTTGCATCTGTCCAATGAAATCCAATGAGTCCAATATCCAATGAAAATTACAAATTGATCATTTTGACCATTTTCGTTGTAGCGTTGAGTAAATATATACGGTCAATTCGTCAAACGAGATTTCTGGATCTAGCGTATATATCGCGGTTAAGATGGAAAGACCTCGCGACACGTTGCCGTTGTTTTATCTCCGCTCTATGTTTAGAAAACCGATTGTACACGCTACATCCTGCGCGTTATCTGTCAGCCTGATACCCCTTATATCGTTACGTGTTCGGGATGCAAGCGTATACGCGGCGCGCTTCGTAGCCAATAGTCGTAAAATCCCGCGCACGGATCAGACGTTCGACCGCAAAATGGCTCGTCGTTGAGTAACCAGACAGGCCCGATTCGACGTGGAAAACTCGTTCCTCGTGAACGCGCGGCTCTGTTACGTCGTGTTGCGTTTCTCGTGGCTACGCGAACGCAAACAAACGTGACCGAGGTCGAGCTGAATGAAATTCAAATCGAGCTCCCAACCCACTCGCGGGTATTTTTGCGACGCGGCGGTTTTCGATCTGACACACGCGTCAGAAAGCTACCCGTCTCTGAGGCACGCGTGTTTCGAATAACTTGCGATCTACGTTCGAAAAAAAAAAACGTTGCTTTCTTCGTTGTACTTCGTCGACTTTGAAATTTTCACTCGTATATTTCTGACGCGAAATAACATTAACAACATACTTTTCTAACACATTGCGTACGCACTCGGCGCGTCCAACCCGCACATTTTTGGAGCAATTTTGTACAATGCATATATGCACTTCTTTAATTCACATTGATAAAATATTCTTAAATATTCTTAAATATATATTTTTTTATAGTAATATTTAAGAATCTATTTATTATGTATTTTAGATTTCAACTGTTATTTATTTTATATTTATAGTAACATATTGAGCACGGTATGCTCTGATAAACACATAGCCTGTATTTTAAATTATTTAATATATGATATGATATATGATATGAATTATTTAATATATGATTGAAACGGTTCAAAAGAATGTATAGCATCTAACAAGTGTATTACTTCATTAATAATTAAGATTATTAATTATTTTTCATTTTAGACGTATTTTATTAAATAAAATGAAAACACCTTTGGTAACGTTTCTTGGTCTGGTATGTTAGGAAATAGTTTCCCTACTTCTTGAAAAATTATATAACACATATAATATATAATTATATATTTAATAAAATACAAGTTTAATTTAATAAACTTATATATAATATTAATTTAATATTATATTAAATTATATATAATATTATATAATATAAATTATATATGACCTAGTTGCCTAGGTAGTGTCCCCCACAACGTAAAAAAGCGTCCCCCGTCCGCAATGTGTTAACATATATTCGAAGTATATCTCGCAAGAAAACAGTCGACGTTTCTCTCGTCTTCGCTCGCTCGCTCGTATTCATGTTCCGTTAAAATGACGCGATACGCACGTGCACTGTCGCACGAAAGTATGCGTACGGAATCTGCGATAATGTAACGCGTATACTCCCGGTATATGTTAAACCGGTTGAAAGTTTCGCGATGGCGTTCGGTTTGGAAGTTCGGCGAAGACCGAACATCGAGCATCGAGCATCGTTGAGGCTCGGAACGAAGGAGAAGGGCGGCGGAGGAGCAAGGATACGAAGGGCAAAGGGAGGAGAATAGTGGTCAGACTGGTGTACCAGGACGTTACACCTTGGTAGCGAGAGCCACGGGCTCGTAGCCAACGTTGCCTACCTTCGTCTTCTCTTCGTCGATCCTCCTTCTCGAGTCTAAAGCTAAGCGTGGAATGCCGCGGGTAGGGGAAGGGTTAGCGTACGGATAAAAGACTCTTCTCGACGTGCTACACGCTCGAGGATTCTCGTCGTAGGGTCAAAGAACGCGAGTGATAGTGTACTCGACGGTTTCGCGGTGTTGTTTATGCAAATCGATCGTACCGTTAGCGTAATCTCAGGTGGATCGACTCGAGACATCGAGACACAGTCTGCGCACGGTTTTTCCGGCTGCACACCCCGAGTGCTGAAACAACCGAGGCCGCCTGGGCCTCGAAAGCGTTGCCTTTTCGAGGGCGGCTTCGTTGTGTGTTGAAAGGTTTCCGGCGATCGTGCTTCGTCGCCAACCGTCACGTTTCTTACATTTCTTTTTTTTCCTCTCTCTCTCTCTCCTCCTCCTCCTCCCACTTTCTTTTCCATCCGAGGTTGGATTTACATCCGAGGTAAAAAGTGATCACCGGGTGACGTACAAGCAACGAAAGTGAAAGAACGTAAACGTGAACGGAAATTATTAAAAAATGTCTCTTACTTCACTTTGGAGGCATTTTCTTTAGACTTCTTTGTTTCGAATATTTTTCCTGGATAAATGAAACTTCTAAATTGCAACAAATGGTTAATGTACCGACAGTTTGCAGATTTGAATCAAAATTCATTTTAGATGTTATTACTATCACTAGAATATTATCTTGAAAAACTAAGTACTGTCTGTATTAGTACGCCCGTCTCTTCATTAAAATAAATTCTACGAAAGGATTTGTATAAATAAAAAGAAGTTTCTTAACTAAGTTTAATTATTAAATCAAGTTTATCAGCGAAGATAAACTATCTTTTGTTAAGAAATATTTCTTTTTGCTTTTACCAGTTCTTTAATACAATTTATTTTAATATATCAATGACAGAGAGGCACGTGAATACGGACGGAATATTTGTTTAAATTTTCAGTGACAGGTGTTCGAATATTCGAGCCATTGTACGTCCCCGTACGTGTTTGTGCAACGTATTGTGAAAACTTGACGAGTCCTTGAAACACCGCGTCTTTTCACGTAAAACGCGGTAAATTTTCGCAACTTCTGACGTAACGACGCGCCTTTTTTTTATCGGCTCAAAGCTCGAAGTATTCTGTATCAGATCTACTACGGAGTTAGTTACGTAAACCGCTTCTTTTCATATCTCGTTCATTACTTTCGATTTCCTCCGCGACATTGAGACAGATTTTTTTTCAAAGGAAATGGCAATTAATATGGCGAAGCTTCACGAAACGAGACGAAATCACGCGAAAAATATCTATCGGACTGTAAAAATGCCGAAGAAGAATTCGTGACATGTTTACGCGTCTTCGATACATCATCGTCGTGTGAATATTTAAAGATTCTCTGTTCTTACAATAACAATCGTTGTTTCTTTCATAAGTGTCCTTTCTTTATCTTCTGTCTTTCTGTCATTCGAGGAAACCGTCGAACGATCATTATACATAATTCCCCGGTTGAAAATATTTCGCGCTTCTTTAATTATCTTTTATCGAACAAGCAGCGTCAGGGGAAGCAAACGTACAGTGTTGCGAGATAATTTCTGCTGATACATTTAGCAAAAACAATGCCTATTCGTCGAAGTCTAATCTAAATTATTTTAATAACATTTTGCTTTTGCATCGTATACGAATTTCTTGCATGTTGCCAAAACCTTTGATTTTTGATTTTTCAATTAAATTGCACGTCGTGTTAATGATAATTTAATGATGATCTAATGGCGAAGACACTTCACCTCAATAGATATTTTATTCATTTGATTCTTTTCAAAGTGACAGAAATAACGCTGAGGATATTTTAAATTATGTGAATTCCTGAATTAATTTTAACGATCATTGATTGTCATTACAATGTGACGGTATTTTTTTAATATTTTTGCAACTGAGAGGGGATAACGACTATAATACGACATTGCATAAACGTCAGTCAAGGTAATGTAATTTTTAGTTATGAATAGAATTCCTATGTCTAGCCATTGTCTTTCAAAATTGAAATTGAAATTAAGAAATTAGCATGTTCATGGAGAGTATGATATTTAGTGAAATATCGCGTGGAAATTCAACGTAAGTAGGTCGACAGAATTTTCGAGATTCATTGGAAGTAATAATGTAATTAACTTCTGTTTTACATCAACGTACAGGCGGTGATTCAAGCGAAATTAGCTTGAGAATGAAGAATAATATTTTCGAGAAAATCATACAGAAGTGAACAATTACTGCAATGATATATTCTACGTAAAAAAA